AACGTGCAGAATTGCCCCGCCACATTCACTCGACCACAGTTCCCTACAGTCAAACCTCAATTTCCCCCACCCTTCCCTCCCACCCCCTAACCCCCCAACAAAAAGGAGGAAAAAAAAAAAAAAACAGACGTCCTACTCCTCCCTCCTCCTCACAAATGCACCGGTCAAGAAAAACTCCAAACACAAACGACGCCCACACACACACAATAAAAAAAAAAATTTTTTTTTTAAGGCACCCCCGCCACGCCCTCACAACACCTTCGCAAGGCGGTTGATAAAAACAAGTGAAAGGCAGTTGGCACGAGGGATCGTCGGCGCAGCAGCCGCACGCCTTCCTACAAACCAGTGTAGTAACGAGGGAAAGCGGGGGAAGAGTAATGACAAGAGAGGGTTCCACCCGCAGTATCTTTGCTCCTCTTACTCCCCCCGCCGCCGCCGCACAAGTGCGATGCAACCACGGGGCACCCTAAATCGCGTAAAACTGACACGGCGGCCATACACACTCGTAACTCAGAACCAATGGCAACACGGACCACCCACCCACGAACCGTCAATTTCCAAAAAGAAAAGCAAAACGAGGAACGAGGGCAGAATCCAAGTCGACAAAAGACTTTTAATCTCCATGGCTACTGCAACTGCCGCGCCAGTGGTGAATGCACAAACCTCCCCCGACACATTGACTACAAAAACTACTCCGTAAAAAAAAAAAAAAAAACATGATGACATAAAATTCAACAAAATATGATACCTTTGTAAAAAGCTAACTGTTTGCCGGAACAATGAGGAATGAGCACTGCAGCTTTTCATCTACATTCATCACGGCCGCGTCATTGTCGAACTCGCCGCAGTAATTCGGAGCCGAAAAAATCGTCACTAGCTGCCGGTTGGCAAAGAACCCGTACCCACGCTCCATCACCTGGTGCGCACGCACCACCAGGTCCATGTCCACCATGTCTAGGAAGTCGCTCACAATGTCCTCGCCGAACAGGTAGCTCACGCCCCGGTCGCTCTCCAGGAAGCCCCTCACCTCGTCCTCAGGGTCAGCCCAGAGAAGGTCGCACAGGATGCCCTTGTCCGGCACATCACACGGACGCTCTATTTCGTTCACGGTGGCAAGCGAAGTCATGTCAGGACTCAGTCCGCCGTGCATGCAGATGATCTTCTCGCTCACAACGCAGCACACGGGCATCGTGTTGAACACATCCGTGAAGGCCTTGAACAGCTTGATGTTGTACCGGCGCTTCACGTCGTCGAAGAAGCCGTACATCTTG